AAAAAAAAAGCAGTGAATAGAAAATTGTAATATCACCATTTCAATATGTAACACATGCGACTGCGGCAATCAACTTTCTGCTTGCACCTACGTAGCTCCACTTTCTTCCTTTTTGGCAGTTGGTAGCATCATTACAAATATTTAGAAGACAAAAAAGGATTGTTTGTGCCTAATTAGCTGTAGAGTCCCCTTTACAATGTGGTTCACATGAACGAGTGGATCAAGTAGAAATTCACGTTTCATTCAAAGCCTTTAACTGCAACTGACTGGGTTTGCCTGGTACAGCAACATATTGGCTATTTTCCAGAAAGTAAAAAAAAAATACAGCTGGAAAAATATCAATTGACAAGATAATTTTATATGTATATAAATAAAAACAAATAAATCAACCAATCCCCCCCCTTCTTTTTAAAACAAGCTTTGTGATCTTGTCAAAGTTTTGGCCAGTAAACATTTTCAAAGCTGACTACCTTCAATGTGATATTGCGCCACTGCAACAAAACCCTTTTTGGCAGGTTTCCATTGAATCACATATTAGGACACAGTGAAAAAAGTTCTCGCCTTACTTACAGTTTGATATTAAACCAAAACCACTGGGCAAATTAAACAGCAAGCGACAGCTACAACAGTGACACTCCAAGGCCAACTTAAAGATGGCATTATTGCTTACATAGTAAATGCAGGACTCTACGGGAGTCCAGTGAGGAAAATAAACTGTTTTTCAACAACTGAACCTTGATTCAAGTAAAAAAAAACAAAAAACTTGAACTTGGAAGAGAGATAGTAAAAGTTAGTACCTCAGTAAACCCTTATGAATGATTTGCATCTTCAAGTTGGCCTGGAAGTTGAATCATTTACTCAAAGAAAAAACAAACAGAAAACAAAACAAGCAGATATCAGGATTTCTTCTTCTTGTCCTGTGAAGCAACATTAGACTAAGATCTGGGCATCAGCCAAAACTATGACAATAAAACTCAGGCTCGCACACAAAGCAGCATTAACCACTGTCATATGCTTGTCATTGCGATCTGTATTGTAATTGCCTATGAAGTATCAGTTAGCACTTCTGCAGTTTTTCTCATTAGACCTTGATAACAGTACACAACTTTTGTTTTTTAAATTTATTGTAATAACAGTCTTCTGGATAGAGCCATTTTGTGGGGGTGGGGATAAAGACCAGGCAAGGGCAAACCGGAAGTCCAGGTAGACAGAAACAGTCAAAGCATTTGAAAGGTATTGAAATGCTACTTGGCCCAGTGTGGTGTTCAGGAGTGCAACTATTCTGATTTATGGCAGTAAAGGTCTTTAAGGGCTTTAAGTTCTTCAATTAGTGTCTTGTTTTGGTTCTCCAGAACGGCCACTCGGTTCTCCAGACATTTAACATATTCCTTCTTCTTCCTGCGACATTCACGGGCCGCCTCTCTGTAGAAGGATAAGACACAATTTGGGTTTTTGTTTCCTTCTGAATGCTGGATTTGGTGGCTACTCATTGGCCTCCTTTCTAATACCTGCAATGTGAACACTTCTCAAATGTACCAAACTCTGGGCTGAAACATACTCACTACAGGGATTGTATGAAGTAGGGATGCAACGATACCAATTTTTTCAAACCGATACGATACCGATACTTGGATCTGAGTACTTGCCGATACAGAGTACAAAAAACGATACTTCTACCACACACACACACACACAAATACAATTAATTGGAAGACAGGTTTTATTATATTTCCTGCCGATAAAAAATAAAATCTTAATAAAAATGACCACAAAAAAATTTCAAGTGAAAAATAAGCACTTCTGTTAAATTATTGCAGAGTCTCCACATTGTAACAAAATATCACTGAACTATTGGCACTGTCTCGAGCTTTCAGAATAATAAATAAACACTTCTGTTTGGAATAAAATAAATACAAATTAGGTTTGCGAATAAAATAAACTTTTAAATTATTGCAGAGTGTCCATATTGTAAACAAACAAACAAAATAATTATTATTAAATAAATAATAAAATATAAAAAATTATAAAATAAATAATAAATAAAATAATAATTGGCCCCCTAGTGGCCAATCTAAAAAACTACAACAAAAATGACAAGCCACCCTCTGATTTATGAAATAAGCTAGTATTGGTTCATGGTATCGGTTAACTTTTGAGAGTATGAGTACACACACATTTTACAGTATCGGCCCTGATACCCGATACCAGTATCGGTACCGGTGCATCCCTAGTATGAATCACTATTAACTTGCTATGAATACCCTGCGATTCCTGGTGCTTGCAGCCGTAGAAATGTATTTGAAGAAACTGCAAAGACATTACAAAACAAACAAACACAAAAACACACAGTCCTCCTTTTTTATACCTGTTCTTCATGAGGCGGACCTCGCGTTTTCTGGTGACCTCCTCAGTGGCGCCCTGGGTCGGAAGAGCAGGGGACGAGGCCATGACTACCCCGGGAGCAATGGTGCTGGCAGGGGCTGCTCGGATCTGATAGGCCTGAACGTCACCTGAGGCAGCTAACAGGAAAATTTGACAGAAAGCAGATGTTTAATTTGGCCTCTTAATGAACCTAGTTTATTGTTTAACTATCTTGTTTACTAACGATGAACATCCAAATGTTTTTGTCTTAAAGACAAAAGAATGGCTGTGCTCACGGATAATAGACTGCCACTCTTACCTTGGACCACCACCTGGTTGCTGGGAACCAGTATCTGCTGGCCGTCACTGGTCTGTGCATACTGCAGTATGGTGGCACCAGGCTGGGCTGCTGCTGCATTGGTCATAGTCAGAGTCTGAAGGCCCTGTACTCCATCTGTACCATTATTGGCCAACTGAATGGCTCCACCCTGTGTGATTGCAACTATTTGAGGGATAAATGAAAGGGGAGAAAAATAAAAGGACAGAAAACACATTATAAATTTGTTTCATTCTTATCGTTCTTCGCTCCTCAGTCTTCCCATAAAGAAAACATTGTGCTGAATGTGCTGTGAAGTTGTTATTGTTTCTTTTAGAGTCTTGCGCTTAATCAAACATGAAGCATCAAACTGTATTTCTGTGATGAACTTGCACAAACTGTTAAACATCTCTTGGACTGCCCCACAAACAAAACAATTAGCTAAACAGCTCAGACTTATTGTCTTCCTCTATGTGATGAATATGTGGAATATTAGCTGCCCTTTACTTTCTTAACCCAGTTTAAGTCATTTAAAAATGCTTTAAACTGCAATGAAAACATAACATATTTTAATACTAGTGTGATCTCCCTCAATATGTTTACATTTATATTAAGTAATCAGGTTTTTTGTATTACTGGGGAGATACGGTAATTGTCGGGCTATAAGCCGCTACTTT